ACCATGAGGAATTTGGAATTTCCGATCAAATGACTTCAATTGAAAATGTTGAAAAAATCATTAATTGTGTGGATCAACGCCAAGTATATTGACGGTGTTTCAGGATTAGATGCCAATGAGAGCAACGAAAATCTTTTAAAAACTTTTATTTTTAAAGATAATATAGGCACTTTACGTCATAAAAAATGTCGACTAACGCTAGTAAATCACAACAAAAAGCTAGTGCACGCATACGCTTATTAAAAACCCAAGTTAAAACTATGCAAGAAAAAATGCAAAGTGTAAAAAAAGAAACTTTAGAGAAACTTTTAAGTGATCAAACTAACATTAGTGCAAGTGAAGCCACAGCGGTCAAAGAAATTTTTAAAGTAGCTGCAGTAAAGGATCCAAAAGGTCGGCGATGCTCAGATGAATGGATTGTCCTGTGCATATTACTTCACATGCGTTCACCTGCAGCTTATAGATTTATATTGGAAAATAAAATTCTCCCTATTGAAAAAAAACACGTATAATTGTACATATAATAATACGTATAATTATACGTATAATAATACGTATAATTATACGTATAATAATACGTATAAATATACGTATAATAATACGTATAAATATACGTATAATAATACGTACTATTATACGTATAATAAGACATACGAATTTGAAACAAGAATTATACGTATCTATAATTTTTAATATTTAGGAATATATAAATATGGAATATATTTTTGTTTCTTAATATATACCTAAATATTATAAAATATTGATAAGTATAATTATACGTATAATTCTTGTTTCAAATCCGTATACGGATTATTATACGTATTATTATACGTATAATAATACGTATAATAGTACGTATTATTATACGTATATTTATACGTATAATTATACGTGTTTTTTTCAATAGGGCTGCTCTTACCGGCTGTACGAACAAATCGCAAGTAATTATTTACAACAATACCATTAAAAAAAATTTCAGTTTATATTAAACTAGCAACTTTGTCGTCCGCAAGCGGCCGACTACGTTGCTAGTGTGCATTAACCATATTTTTTAATCATTTTTTTTCAAAAAAATTTAATATTAGAAATGTAAAAAAAATTTCTTTATATTGGATCTACCACCCAAGTAGCAAGGAATATTGCTCGAATGTCAAGCTGATATCAAGCGGCAATATTTTTGTGACATTCAGGCGATATCATAATGTCCTCTTCACGGGGACATTCCTCGGTGATGTATCTATATGATCTATGTGACGGTCTTTCACACAAAAAATGTAACGCATTATAAAACTTACTCATATGTAACTTCGCGCCTTGCCTTCCTTATTCTTCCCTTCTCTTTAATTGCTCGAATTATCTTTTTATCATTTTCTTTACTCAGAAAATTCTTTATTTTTAAATATTCATGTGGTGAAATTTTGTTCACATTATTATCAGTTGTACAAATTATTTTCTTTTCACTAGTGTCATTTAGAGAATGTTTAATTTTTAAATATTGTGTTAATAGAACTCTGTTAATATTATTACTGTGCAAAGTATTAAAAACAGAACAAGAGTTTAAAATATAATTTTTATGTTCCTAAGTTCAATTTATGAAAAGACGGTTCTAATTATTCTCTATTATCGAATTCCTATTGTGAGACGTTCTTACTGCCAGAAAATGATTTAAGCGATTATTTTCAAACATTGACTTAAAATGGTTTCTCATTTTGTTATTATCAGTTTCATAATTTACACGGTTTGGCATTACGTTAAATAATACAGATGTTGCAAATGCTATTGCATATACTCCACACTAAACACTACCAAAAAGTTGTTGATTAACAGCTTCAAAAACTACTGTTGGTTTAAAAGGGAACAATCTAATTAAACATTTTATTTGATGCACATTTAAACACCCCTCATTAAGGCTATCAAAAATATAAAGCCTTACTCTATCGTAATAAACATAAATTCAGTGACCATAATTGTTATTACCGCTAAAAAGTATTTGAATATGTTTATCACCTTCTCTAATTAGGACAATAAAATCAAGCATTTGTACATACAAAGTACTTTGCACATTGAAAAATGAATTGGAATCTTTTCTTAATAATTCTTCAAATTTGTACATATGCATGTAATTTAACAATTTATTTCTATTTTCAATAATTTTTAAATCTTTATCACTTAAAATAACATACTCTTTTATGTTGGCCATAGTATACTTCGTTTAATTTTATTTTTGATTGATGAAAATCTAAATATCTTTAACCCTTTTGCTCACTCTCTCTAATATAACCAATTTTGTCTTTAATTCAATACAACCAATTTTACCTTTTATTAAAAATAAGCAATTTTTCCTTTAATTCAATACAATTAATTTTACCTTTTACTAAATATAACCAATTTTTTCTTTAATCCAATATAACCAATTTTTACTTTAATCCAATATAACCAATTTTGCCTTTTATCCAATAAAACTACCAAATATCCAAAAGAATGAGAGAACTATGAGTAACTATGAATCAGTAACTACTGATCAGCCAATAAGTGCAAAAAGGACACTCTTATATGAGTAATCAGTAGTTCATTACAAATAACATATATACGTATTTATACCTGTATTAAAACCCCGGAACAAATACCACAAAAAAACCAACCATTGGACAATAGAACCTTTGTTAATGGGGATTAACTCTGAGGACCCAGGTAATAATTTCTTTTTTCACATTTATTATATAGAAAAATAAAGATGTACCAACCCTTGGCCAATAGAACCTTTGTTAATGAAGATTAACTCTGAGTACATAATGAAATATACAGTAGGTTTACATTGACATCGGCACGTCCGACGTCTCGAAATTTTTTCCGTGTATTATCACAAGGAAATATAAAGATAAAAGTCAAAAACTGAAGAGGTAATGTATATCTTTCTTTCTCACATCAAGGAATATAACATATAATTTTCATTTAATATTGCATTTCTCTATCTAGAGGATTCAAAATAACATAAGAATATCTTCGCCTAAAAATCTTACTCTTCTTTCTTTCTGTTTTCAAAATAAAAAAAATATGTATATACCAGTATTAGACTCTCAGAACAATTACCACAAACAATACCAATCCTTGGACAATAGAGCCTTTGTTAATGAAGATTAATTCTGAGGGGCCAGGTAATAATTTTTAAATTTTTTTATTAAAATTTTCTGGGGCTCTAATACAGGTAGGGGAGAGTGATAAACAGTGGGACAGTTTAAACAGTAGGTCACTTTAATTTTCTGAAAAACTACTAAAGAAACTCGACCAAAATTTAAATGTAAACCATGTTTATGACAACACACTATCTATACGCATGCGCATTTATACTTACACAGCGACTAAAAATGTGATTTTTTTATGCTAAAAAACATTAAAAAATTCAAAATTTATAATTATTACAATTATTGTTCGGCAACATTTGAAAAATAACACTTGATAAGAGAACGACTATTCAAATTTTCCTCCAAATTGTTTTTATGTTATGACCAAATTATGACGTATGATCAGCAGTACTGTAAACGTAAAAAAAAATAATAACAATTTTTTATATGAAACTTGACATCGTATTATAAAAATGTAAAATATTATTAAAATATAAGTGTTTTGCAACATTTGTTAACGTTATTTAATGCAAAACATATATATTTCTAAAGTATGAAGCAGGATATTATTATTGAAACAAATATTCATTATTTAATAATAGGTGTCCCACTGTTTAACACAAACCTTGAAAACAAGAAAAATGTATCAAGTTCCAAAAACTTGAAATTTTTCTATTTAATCACAATATAATTTAAATAGAATATATGCATTATGTGGAAAAGAGTTCAAACTTTATGGTAATACCAAAAAGTGGACAAAAATATATAAAATTGAAAAAAAGTGATCTTATGCCATTTTGAATTGTCTAGATAGAGAAACGCAATGTTAAACGAAGAAGTACTTATGTTATATTCCTTGGTGTAAGAAAGAAAGGTATGCGTTACCTATTCAGTTTTAGACTTTATAGTTTTTTCACGTGATAAAGGGAGAAAGAAATTATTACCTGGGTCCTCAGAGTTATTAATTAATCCTCTTTAAAAGATTGCAGGTCAAGCGAACCCTCATTTGCAAAATAAAGATATATCTTTCTCTCTCCATAACTTGTTCTTTTCTCTGTCACCGAAAACCCAGCAGGGGTCCGGACGGAATGAATGAATGAATGAATACCAAGATTATTATAGTTAATATTCATGCATTTTTTTTTAAATTTTTTGCATGAGTTTATTTTACTATTAGTTTAATTATTTTGAACTTTTAATGTGTAATTATGTTATTACCGTTATTACAGATATCTTTCTAATATGGGTTGTCCCTGTGGCTTCGATCCTCGATTCTTCAAAATTTTAAAAGAGCATTTAGCTCAAAAATCGGAATTGCAGTTACATGGGCTTTTAAGTTTGGATGAATTGAAAGTGAGACAAAATTTACTATTAGACACAACAACAATGACCTATAAAGGTTTGGAGGACTTTGGCGAGAATGTACCAAACGATGTTGATAAAAAAATGGCTAATCACGGTCTCGTATTGATGTTTCAACCTCTTTACGATAATTATTCTCAGCCAATTGCAGTTTTTGCTTCAAATGGGCCAACAAAGGGAGTACAATTAGCTAAATTAGTCATTCAAGCCATCGCTCTTTTGGAAAAAGCGGGTGCAAAAGTCCATGGAGTTATCGCAGACGGAGGAAAACCCAATCGAAAAATGTGGACAGAGTTCGGATGCAGTGGGAAAAAGAATATATTTAAAAACTTTTTCGAACATCCTACGGATATTGCTGACGACGAAGATATTAATTCAAATAGTAAATTTGACTTCAGACGTAAAGTTTTTTTCTTCTCGGATGCACCACATCTAATTAAAACTATTAGAAATCGATTAGCAAATGCGAAAATGCTTCAAGTAATTAAATTAATTTACTTACGTATATAACGTGCCAAATGTAAAATAGTAATATTAATTCATATATTTTTCAGATGCATCCAGATGGAGATTTGATTGAGTAGGAACATTTTAAAATTCTACACCAAATCTACTCAACACAACCCAAAGGCAGAAAAATTTGTCCTAAAATAACATCTTATCATGTGAATCTAGACACTGACAGTATTTTAAAAATGCGAGTTTCTCTTTCACTTCAGGTAATTTATTCATAAACATTAAAAATATGTTATATGTGACGCCGCACGAGAAAAGGTACCTATCCCCGAAATAACGTTAGGCTTAGTTTTCTGTGTATAGTGCACGAAAAACTGAGCCTAATGTTATTTCGGGGATAGGTACCTTTTCTCGTGCGTCGTCACATATGATCTTTTTTCAAAAATTTAAACAATTATTCATTCACAGGTTTTCAGTAACTCTGCTGCCAGGAGTTTGCGGTTTTATAAAGATTATGACTCGCGGTTATCTACCTGTAGAGCCACTATTGAATTTTGTACAATAATAAATAATATGTTTGATGCCTTAAACAGAACATCTATAGAAACAGCTGTTCAACTTTCAAGCAACGATATTCAAGTATTTTTATTTATATATTGACTGTGCTTAACCCGGCGAGACTAAGGTTCAATTTTGTAACACCGTGACTAAGGTAGAGTAAATTTACCCTATAATGATTTTCTGTTTCTATATTTAAGAAAAGCTTAAAATCATGGAAATTTTTTAACAAATTTGTTTTATATTGTCTAGTAATGTAATTTATTAGTGTCACAACAAAATTTGCATTTTTATAAAAATCGCAGTAAAATTCAGCATTCCTAGTTCAAAACTATCGAGGAATAAAAGTTTCATAGGGTAAAATTTACCCTACCTTAGTCACGGCGGGTTAAATAATTTTACAATTAATATAATTTTTTAATTTTAATATCTTTTTGCCAGGTACTTCGTGATTCTTTAAATTGGTTAAACCAGTGGGAAGAAAATGTCCAAAATGGACTAATAAAAAAAGAAAATTTTATTACGACTGACGCTGTGAAGGTTTACGGATGACGCTAAATTCAACTCTGGATTTACTAAAATATTTACTAGAAGATTTAAAAATTGAATTTGTTTTGATTGGGAGAATAAATCAAGACTGTTTGGAGGTATTAAATAGTGAATAGCAATTTTGAAATTCATATGAATATTTATGTAAATAAATATAAATTTATATAAATATTTTTATAAATAGTCAAAATTCAAATTAGATAATTCGTGAAAAGACAAGCAAAATATTTTTGATTATTTTATACATGCAGCCAACATTGTTTTTTTTTAAATTTATTTTTCTGCCTTTTTCTAATCCATTTTGCTGTTTCCAATTTAGAGATTTTTTGGAACGATTCGACTCGCAGGAGGAACAAATGACCATCCTGCCACTCCAACTTTCTTGCAAATATATAAAATCATTTCAGACACTCCTAATATGCCTCTTATTTCCATGTCACGATTAAAAGAAATTTACAATAGCGAAAAAAATACAATAATAGCAGAAATTAAAACTAAATTAAATATTGTAATTGCAAATGACAGTAGCGATTTCAGTGATTTTGCCGATGCAATGGATCACGATTATGACCTTCCTATTATAAGGGATTGTTTATTGTATTTTTTAACAGGTCAAATTTATTCTAAATTTTTCAAGTATAGAGAATACAATGTCTGCCAAACTGCATTTTTTAATTCAGATGTTAATGTTAATTTTTTTCGAATAATTACATACGAAGACGATCAATCTTTGCAACAACCAAATCGTCTTATTTTTGAACTGTTTAAAAAAATTGAACAATATTTTGAAAAATATTGCGAAAAAAGCAATCTATTTGAATTAATATTAAATGACCTTACTAAGATACATTTGAATTTCCTTGTTCTGTTTATGCTGCAGATGTTTTATCATATTTAATACAATATTACTTGGAAAATCGCATCAGACAATTTATAAAAGCAAAAATGGGTGACAAGAAAAAAAAATTTATCACACAAGAAACAAGCAAAATTATCTGATTTCTAGATTATACATATATCTATATTTTGTATCTTTTCAGCATTTATTTAATTTATTTAAAATTTTATTAATAGTTGCAAATTTTGATTGTTCTTTTTTTATCAGAAATAAAAATTGTTGTTTAAAAAAAAGGTTTTATTATTTCTAAACTCATTATACTTTGTTTTTAAAATTTATTACGACATTACTGAATTTAATAATAATAATTTATATTTTTTGCCCAATTTAAATATTATATTTATTATTTAAATATTTGTTTGATATTACTCTTATTGAATTTTCAAATTATTATTATTTAAATATTTTTAATCTCGTTTTTATTTTAATTAAACAGGTACTTATTATTTATATCAATTATTTATAAGTGTTGGATATTATTCTTATTGAACTTTCAAATTATTGGACTCAAACTTCAACAGCACTGCCACGCGGCAGTAAACATTTGTCTGACATACTAATTTCGACTTTTACTATGGGTGTTTTCGGCATTCACTCAGAGTTAACTCTAGAGTTAGCAGTGGTGCTCAAATGTAAATTTTGATTTTCAGTTCGTCTGTTGGTTGTGAACGTTGTTGATTGGCAATTTGGCATAGACGATTCATTTTGATTGGCGCAGGGTTTGCAATTGTAACAATATGTGAAACGGGCCTTTTATTCTAGTAATGTAATGTTAAAATAAAATTTTTTGTTTCTAGATTTCATAAAAGTCCCCAAAAATTTATTACTAGATGACCCAGAGTTAACTCTGTTTTCTTGCGAGAGTAAAGAAAAAGGGTCAGTCCTAACCTTTAATGGCCGACAAAATTTGTGAACGGATTGTTTGTTTTGAAAAGTGTAAATTGAAACATAATAATTTATTTTTATTAAAAATTATTTTAACTTTTTATTTATAAAAAACAACTTTAATTAAAATAAATAATCTAGTTTCTAAAACAAATCAGATTAATTAAAGTTAGGGAAATAATGAAAAATTTAAAGATTATAAACTTTAAAAAAATAACAGCAAAAATATGTTCCATTTTTAAATGAAAAACAAAAAAATACGTATAAATTAAAAAAAAGTAAGCAAACAAGGACAACTAACTTCAAACTCAGGGTGATGAAAATAGAAAATCAATTATTTTATTTAGGTAAATAAATTTTCAAAGATAATATCATTGAGCACCACTGTTAACTCTAAAGTTAACTCTGAGTGAATGCCGAAAACACCCTATAGAAGATACATCGGGGTGCAGTGAACTTATTTGAATAAATTGAGGTTATGATTTAAAGTCAACGATGTAGTTGACTTAAGCAATAACTTATTAGTGTATTTATAGTGTAAAAGTGTTAACAATGGAAATAATGGATTATTTAAGTAACATTGAGGATGATATTGATAATGCGGAAAATCCTTTTGAAATAGATGAGTGGGAGTTTCAGATACGTTATCGTTTTTCAAAAGATTCTGTGTTGGTATTTTGCCTGAAATACAGACTGGGTTAATTAAACATAATAATCGTGGTTTACCCATTGCACCACAACTCCAATTACTTCTCTGTTTACGATATTATGCAACTTCAAGTTTTTATGTAATTTTAAATTTTTGTTTATATAGATCATTTTATTCCAAATAGAATGTCCTTGTATAAACAATCAACGATTATGATTTCTTTTACAGATTTTGCGCTATTTTATAAAAAGGAGAAACTTTTGTCATTAGAAATTAAAAAGAATCTGTAACCTTTACATTGGTAAACTTGACGATGTTCACTAAGAAAACAATCTATTTAACATAAAGGGAATTCTATTATCTTAAGCGGATTTTCCTTTTATTATTTGTTTAAAAGGATTTCCTTTTATGATAAAAGGAAATTCCTTTAAAGTATATCTTTTAATCATTAAAGGAATTTAGTTTAACATTAAAATGAATCGTATTAATAATAAATAGAAATATTTAGAATATTAATTTTTTAATTCTTTATTTATTAGTATCAGTATTAATAATTAAATTAAAAATTATTATTTATTGATTTAAAATAAAATAATTAAAATGTAGTAAAAAATAATAATTGTCTAAATTTATTTTTATATTAACAATTAATTAGTTCATAATTTTTGTAATAAAACTCGCAATTCTCAAAAATAAAAATTTAAACTTTTCATTAAATTCTATTATTTTGCCACTGAGAAAACAGTTTATTTAACATAAGAGGAATCAGTTTAACATAAGCAAATTTTCATCACAATATTTTTCTGAGAGGATATCCTCTTAAGATAAAATTTAATCGATGAAAGATTATAACTTTTAAAATCATCGCTAGTCGTCATTTTTAGTCGTCATCCCAAATTCTACTAATTTTTTTTTAAATAAACAAATTTCAATTTTCTTCCGTCAAGTGACAAAAAAAAAAAGGTCCTTTTCACATAAAAGGATTTCGTTTAAAAAACTAAAAAAAACCTTTATTATTAAAAGTTTTTTCGTTTTATCAAAGTACTAATCTTTTTTTATTCAAAAGATTCCTTTTATATTATAATTAATTCTTCTTTACATAAAAGGACTCGATCTAAAGGAAATAATTTTTTATTAAATATACTATTTTCCTCAGTGATTGACTTATTAATATAACCTCAAACTAAAAAGTAGTTTTTTACAGAACAGAAAATATATTTAAAATTGATTTTATCTAATTTTAAAAATAACCCACTTGTACAATTTTGAAACAAAATTTATTGTTATATAATAAAAACAAAATTAACATTTTGTGTTTTTTCTTAAAAATTACATATCAATTTTTTTAAAAATAATAATAGCTTATTTTACTCTATGAAAGATTTTCTATAATTCTACTTGTTAAATTTTGTACAAAAGTTATAAATTAATATTCTTTTATGTGATAGGAATGAAAAAATTTAAAATTTATTAAATATTATATTTTTGCAGCTTGTTCTTGCCGACACTATGAAGGTTTCTCAATCAACTGTCTCAAGAATTGTTTTTCGTGTCGCCACGTTGCTTGACAGTCTCATTAATTTATACATTAAAATACCAACAACTGGTGATGCTCTCGTGTTCATGGAGCGATTGATTGCACTCACGTTAAGTTAGTCGGCACAAGATTTAACCAGCTTGACAAAATGTTTAGAAATAGAAAAGGTTATTTTTCACTTAATGTACAAGTTAGTAAACTAATGAGGACTATGATGATTTTTTTAAGAGTAGTAGAAAAGTTATTTTTGACAAGAAATTTTGAATCGTTTTTACATAACTTTTTTTTAAAAATGAATCTGGTACAATTTTTTTAGGCTGTTGTTGGACCCCGAATGAAGTTTCTCGATATTGTTCCGGAATGACCATGTAGAGCACATTACAGCCGGATAATTCAGAACTCGTTAATTTACATGCGATATATTTAAGGACGATTAGATGGGATTTATGTAGGTGATAAAGGATATCCCTGTTTGCCTTTTCTTATGACACCCCTCAGAAATCCTCATACTGAAGAAGAAATCATGTAAGTATTCAAATTGTTTTTACATCAATATAAGTTTACTTGCTGAAGACAAAATTTGATATTTATGTAATATTAAATTGTTTCAGGTATAATGAATTTCAAATACAAACGAGAATAATTGTTGAGCGAATTTTTGGTGTATGGAAGCGAAGATTTCCATGTTAGGCACAGAGAATGTCAACGAAGCTTATTTGTTCAACAACAACTTTTGTTACATGTTCTGTTTTGCACAATATGGCATTGCGTTTCAATGACATATTAGAATGGAAACAAATTTATCTAAATATATTACGTCAGGATTAAGAATATTTCACTTTTTTACCCTTCAGGTAGTCATTTTTGTATCCTTTTACTTTTATTGGGTACTTTTTTTCTGAAAATATTGAGATATTGCTAACGTTAAGGGATTTAATCCTACCCCCCATAAAATACAGATGTTACATTTTGCTCATCTCATTGAAAGTAGTAAGAAGTAAGAATGGTTTCACTTTCGAAAATTAAAATAAATATTTAACATTAAAGAAATTATTTTAGAAAAATTATATTTCTTAGAACAAAATAAAGTTTATTCGTTTATAAAAAATTTTCAATTTTGCTTCTTTTTATAATTCATTACTTTTCTGACAAAGATAAGATATAAAATAAATTACAAGTCTTTTTAATTTGAAAAAGAAAAAATAAATTGTATTCTACAAAATGTACACCTAATTTTAAAAACTAAATATATTTCATTTGTTGATTTTTAAACATTTTACTTTTAAACAATATTTATTTTAAACAATATTACATATATTCACAGGTTCATATTTTTGAATTTTGCTTTATTACTGTTTTTTATTACAAAAATTTAATAAGAAAAATATTTTACAAATTTACTTTTTTCAAATAATTAAACTAAATTTTTTTATAAATTACATTAAAAAGATACATAATTAAATCACTTGTTCACAATAAAACAGTTTTAAACTTCGCACACAAAATTTAATGTTTATATTTGGCAATTATTCACTATAAAAACAATTATAATAATAGAATGAACTGATCGATTTAAACGCCAAAACGAAAAACTCAAATTGAATACAACGCAAGTTTCAAAACCATTTTTTATTGGTGGATTCAAGAGAATATTTACGGAAAAAGCCGATCGTTCAATAAGATTATCTTAAGCATTTGCTTGGTCAAGAAATTCTTAAGCTACATTTCCTTTACCAAGCAATTGCTTATTTTTGACTATAAATATATATGGTCTTAAACTCGATTCATTCGAATAAGACCGTCTTGATCAAGCAACTCTTAAATCCTTGCTAAGTCGGAACTATGAATACCGCCCCTTGGAAAAGGCCCGTGCCATTAGAGTAAAGGTCGTTGCGACCAATCGAAACAACAACCATAGTTAACCGCGTCACTAGTTAAATTCAATTTCTTATGTTTTAATGTCTTTAGATTCATTCTTTATCTTTTGGATAATATAGATTCTTTAGTTCATTTATTATTTTATGTTATACTTTTATTTTGTATATTTTATTATTCTCTTACTTAAACAATATATTCTCTTTCCAAGCTTTTAAATAAAGACTCGTTAATGACAAATGAATGAATTTTAAAACACCCAGAGAGTTTTTTTTGCAGAATTTCCTAAACTTTTAATCTATGTACCGTCAAGGCGGGTAACTTCGGAAAAGGACACTCGTACATTATTAAAAATATTTGGTATTTCCCTTCTTTCTAATAGTTTTCATAACAAAACACATTGTATTTCTTAGATGTTCAATAAAATAAAATAAATGCTAATAAATACAAATTATTTTCAAAAATATACGAGTGTCCGGAGTTAGCCTCCTGTCCGAAGTTACCCACTTTAACGGTACCGCAAAAATTAAAAAATATATATTTCATAGAAAAAATTTTTAAAAAATTTGTTTTTTAAAGAGTCTCCAGGGTTAAGATGGGTATAATGCCCTAATGTATGGATTTTTTAATTGACCCGGCACATGTGTATTTTAGGGTACTAAAATATGGTAACTATTAGGGTCGATATCGGAAAAATCCTCCTGCCCCCCTATGGGGGTCGAAAAATGCGTTTTTTCGAAAATATTTTTTTCTGGTTTATGAATTGATAAAAAATTTTGAAAAAATTTATGAAGCTTGTGTTTGAGATGTACTTTGACCATATTTTCTTTTACCCCCCACGCTCTGTTTTTATTGTTTAAAAAAATTCCAAAATCTTAAAAATAATTTTTTTTCTAACCTTTTTGAGTTGGGCACAAAAAATTTTTTTCTCATTTTTTAAAGGATACTAAATTTTTTTGTGATGTCCGCCACCCCCAAAAATTAAATTTTCGTCCGTTTTCACCATTTTTGTCCTTTCAAGGCCAAATTCACAGTCCGTAATGTGTAGGATTTAAATATTTTTGAGAAAATTATTTGCTATTCTATTTATATACCCACTCTTCATTCATGGAATTTTAAAAAAATTAAGAAAGAACTGAGTTTAAAGGCATAGAAATATCGAAAAATCGTCACTTTTACTCATTTTAACTACTTTTTCCACTTAAGAGTATTAATATTTGACTTTTGTAATAAATTTTTATGTTTCCATTGGATAGAAAATTTTTAATCTTTCACGCATAGAAATTTGAACACAAATATGAGATGAAACTAAGAGAAATTTATAAGTATCAAAAAATATTAGGATAAATAATTTGACCATTAAAGAATTTATTCAAAATGTATTTATTAAGAATTGATTTTTAAAATTTAAATATTAATTTATAGATAGAACAAATATTCTGATTAAGTAAATAGCAAAAATTAAAAAGAATATTGTTATGCAAAATTTATATATTCTAGATGAATTTCTTATCGCAATACAGTAATGACACTAAATCTCTGTTACTGTTTCTAGTCCTCATCGCTATCATCGTTTATTATTGGGTGAACGTTATCGATGTCAAAGAGATTAGTTAGTACTTCAGCTGGTCTAAAAACTTTCGACAAAAATCGTCCATATGATAAATGAAAAATCAGAGCGGCGACGTGAGAACAACATCCAACTGTTCTTTTATAGCATCAATCCCGACCTCATTAGCATCATATTTGATGTAACACTTATAAGTTTTTCTGTTCATATAACGCGATTTTACTTCGAATTTAACTATTTCAGGTTCTTCTTTCAAAAAACTCAATTTCAGCAAGTTATCTTCTTCAACCATTTCTCCTAAATATGAAATTGCTTGTGACAATTGATAAGATCCACCAAAATAAATCTTTAAATCATCAGTTGTTAACTCTGAAAAATCTAATAAATCTCGCGAAGATAGCACTTGAAACAGGATAGATTTTGGATTTAAATTTTCATTATGAACTTTCTCGGCCAAGGTGTCGATTATGTAATTTGATCAAATCAAATTCATTTTAACGTCAATGTCAAATTTAATTCAACAAATTCATTGTTTTATTTAACTTAGACGTTAAATTAAAATTAAATTTTTTATTTCAATTTAACGTCACATTCAAATTTATTTTTTGATAGCAATTTGACGTATTGCAATCAAAAAATAAATTTGACTTTGACGTCAAAGTCAAATCAAATTACATAATCGACTCCCAAGCTGTTATTTTTGTTTCTGTTCGATTTCATTCTCGCAATTATATCGCTTAATTTTCCCGTATTGCAATTAAGGCGTTTTCCAAATAAATTATTATGAAGATTAACTATTTTGCAATAAGTGCCAGCATCTGGTAACAACCTATTATTGAATTGATGATGAAGGAACTTCCCAGCAAACACGTTATGTATCAGTTACATAAAAAATAGGTCACATTGTTATGTCACTCTGTAACATTATTTTAATGTAACCATTATATAATGAGAATGAAACGCTGTGATATAATTCTGTTATTCTATGGTGATATAATTATTACATAATTTGTATACGTATATGTTATATAACAATATGATATATTTATTACATCACAATGTGGTAACTTTTTGTATGGCACATTGTTCTTCAATTGTTAGGTAACAATTATGAAACTATATGACATAACACATGAATATTTATGTTTTTTAAGCAACATTTTTTTCTTTTTAACTTTTTAAATTATTTAAATTTCCTTAAGTATATTTTATTTTTTTATATATTTAATGCATATTTATATATTAATTGATAAATTTATTGATTTTTAATGAACAAATGATTTGATAAATATATAATATTAATTAATTTATACTTATTATTAGTTTTATTTCAATAGTTTTTTTTGAAAATTCAAACAATTTTCTTTTTAATTCAATTTAAAAATTTTAATGAAATTTTGAAAAATCATAATGCAGAAAAAATAATATGCCGTGAATTTTTGTAACTTGCATAAAATTGAATTTTGGCGGGCACATAATCATGTACAAGCGATCTTTTTATAGTTTAATTTATATTTTATATAATATAATAATTACATAATTTATAATTTATTTGAGGAAATGAAATTACAAACAATTTTTATTCAATTTTTTTATAAATATATACATGTGATTTTTTGTTATATAATTGCTACATTACTATTATATAACAGTGTTTGCTGGGTCGTTTATCTTTCTTATCCATATACTAAATCACTGGTGATTTTGTACATATAAATTCTGGACTCATTTCGGATTAGGGTGTTATAACAGATTAAGACAAGATTTGTTGCTGATTAACGCTGAATTTTTTACCTACAAATTGCGGACTCATTTTAGATTAAGTTTTTTGATCGACCTAGAATCGAATTTTTATTGACTGATTTCATAGAAGTTTCCGACTACTTCGGACTTATCTTCTCATAGTTATCTTTTTTGTCCCCACTAATTTCGGAATGTCTCATATTATTTTCGGACTGTTTTCGTACAAGAATCTAGATAAATTCAATCCGTTTATAAATCTGAATCCGTAATGTACCTGATATATTCTGACATTCTGTATGTATTAAATCCGGAATTAGTTCGCAAAAATTTGGATTTAATCAGGTTTTGCTGTTTTTATTACAGTTCAATACCTAGGGTAATTAATTTGTTTTCAAAATAGTTTTCATTTCAGTATAATCCATGATGAGTTTAAATGGTCAATAATGTTTCTTTGAGTTATGAATCCATGAATAAAGTTTATCATCGTTCTCTTGAATGATATTTATAATTATTTTTTGAATTGAGACAATATATTTTTATTAATTGACCTAACACATTTCGTATTTTATTATTTATCATCAACCAAGAGAAAATAAAATCATTTTTTGAAAATATAATATTTAAATATCGTAGCAAACAAAATTTTTTCACAATAATAACTGTTTACTCAATAATTTTTTAATTGTATTTGTAAATGAAATTGTTTATATCTAGTGATTTGTATAATTATTGTTCGCTTACCCTTTTCGCCTCCAGGAATGGAGCATCTTGGTAGACTATGTAAGTCTTGAGAACTGGAAGAATTATTGTTCAAAATGAAAGACGTACTGCTATCACTGACACCTTCATTATTTACAGGAACAGTAGAAGGTAATTTAAAATTTTTTGGATCACTTAGTGATGGTAAGTTATTTGCTGTTTGATCATCAGGTGTAATTTTTTCTGCCTTACTTCTAGAGCTCATATCTTCTGATTCGTCAATGTCAAGGTCAAAATTTTCTTCACAACTTTCACCTGTTGGACTCACAACGAATCTTCCTGTATTAAAATAAACTAATATAACAACGAGAAGTATAAATTAATATTATTTGTGATGTTGTTTTTAAGATACTTAAAGCCGGTCAGAAAATTGTATTGCCTAACCAATCATATCCAATTCTTATAGGATTTTATCTCTAGAAAATCCGAATCTGTTCTTGAAAATATTGGATTGGCTTTAGTTTTTGTGCAATTTAGGTTTTAAGGTGTCAAAAAACATTTTTGAAAGTCTGTAGACTTTCAAATAAAATTTGATAAATTTAAATTTCAATAAAATAGTCCTCATGAGACGAAATGAAAGTTTAAACATTTCAATGAACACCAATTCGTCTTTGGAATGATTTTAAGACGGTCCAAAAGTTCTAGTGCATTGCAAAATCTTCCAAAGACATAAAAATGTAAAATTCACTCAAAATTCCTTTTCATTATAATTTATTGAGGTGTGCGGAGAATTTTAATGTAGATTTTAAAATAGTTTCACGTAGCCGATTTAAAAAAAATTAATTTTAAATGAAAAATAGTGTTTTTTGGTATTATTATGTTATTTTATGCATTATTGTAATGACAAATGAAAATTAAAAAAAAGTCGACTGAAAGATGATTACAATGATGAAAAAATTACTTTCCCAGTAAAAAAAGTTGTATAGCAGAAGCTTTTGTATTTCTCGTCCTTATGTGTTAAGGTTGCAATCTGATTGTGAGTTTAAAAATTTAAAAATTCAGGCCCACTCTAAAACCTTTTTCAAAGACTTCTTTACACTTGCAGGTAGGTACACGAAATTTTTTTTAAGTCGGGCCCAAATATAAAAAAGTTAATTTGTTTATAAAAAATTAATATTTTTTATAAAATAATTCTTAATTTTTTTTGTTAATATTTTTTAAAAGTTGAAGAAAAAACAAATTTTTCATGTCTTAACAAAATTTTTCTAAATACAATAGTTGTTGAGCTATTCTTAATTGAAAATATGTCTACTTTTGACTAAACAAAATTTTTAAAAATTCGTATCTCAAAAATTTGACCATAAAAAAACATGTATCTCTTCTTATTTTATGAAGAATAAGGAAAGGTATAGGGAACCGCAGAACTTCGGTACGCTATCTGGCGGCTGATGTTAAAACTAACGCAACGGGGTCGTGTATGTTTACATCGTAAGCGATTTGCAGCGATTTGAACTGACAGTTGATTTGTGTTTCGAATTAATAATGTATTTTCCTTGTTGAAAATTACTTTTTGTGAAAATATTTTAAAGCAATAATAATGGAAGAGTCCGGAATGAAATTCAGTCCACAAAATACGAAATCAAAACGATTTTGCTCTGTTTTCGGATGTCAAAGTAAAGCCTACAAGAACCCAGAACTGCGCTTTCATTCGTTTCCTGCACCAAATGCAAATTTCGTGAAAATTATTAAGAAAAGTGGATTGGAAGAAAAGGTTGATAGAAGAAAAGAGTGGGAAAGAGTGTTAAAAATAGGAAAAAAAGTTACGCCATGTATGTGTGTTTGCTCTCTTCATTTCAAAAAAGATGATTATTTTTTTACAACTATGGGTAAGTATATAAATATAAATTATTTTTTAAGTAAAAGTTATTAACTTCTTTGAATCATATAATACAAATATGTAAACATAATTTAATGATAAAATATAATATATACATCCTAAAAAATTATACAAAATTTTTAGAAAGTACCTTTATTTATATATTTTTAAATTCAAGTTTTTTTCTTTTCTTTCACAATTAATAAAAATTTTTGCAGATATTTACTTAAAAAAAAATATTTAAAAACAAATGCGGTTCCATCTTGCAACCTACCGAAATCAAGCATCAAAAGAGATGAAAATTCAAAATCTAACGTTGAAAGAGAAGAAAGAAAATTAAAACGTGAAGCAAAAAATACTGACAGAAAAATAATCGAGTCATTGTCAGTGGTCGAAGTAAACGAAGTATCGGAAGTATCAGTGGAAAACAATGCAATTAATATTATACCGGATGCAGTAGAAAATAAAATTGCTGAAAATATTGAACGCACTTTTGTCGATTTTGGGGTTCAAGTTAAAAGTGGAGACTTAGTGGAACCCAATTTCAGTTTTTCAATAACAAATGATAAAGAACTGAGTACTGCCACTGGTATTCCAACTTTTAAATTATTAGAAACTTTTGTAAAAATTGTTGAAAGGGTGTCTCCACAATTAACATATTATAAAGGCAAACTGACTGTTCGTGACCGAATAATATTAACTTTTATGCGATTGAAGCAGAATGTCAGTTATGCGTTTTTAAATATTTTATTTAAAACATGCTCTGAGCGACACATTTCTAACATTCTAGATATTCTGGGAAATGCACTAAAGTATGCAATTTTTTTTCCAGAGAGAAGTGAAATTTTAAAAAATATTCCATATTGTTTCGAAGAGTATGAAAGTGTAAGTCTCATTCTCGACTGCACTGAAATTGAAGTACAAAAACCAAAACATTTGTGCTGTCAATTATTAATGTATTCGAATTATAAAAGTCGATATACAATTAAATTTCTGACAGCGTGCACGCCTGGTGGTTTGCTTGTTTATGTAAGCCCTCCCTACGGAGGACGATCTTCTGATAAATCCATGTTTCAGCAAAGTGGCATAATAAGCCAATTAGAGAAAAATGAAAAAATCATGGTAGATAAGGGTTTTCTAATTGACGAAATTTGCGCTGAGCATGGAATTGAAATTGTGAGACCACCCTTCCTGAGGAATCAAACTCAATTTTCGCAAGCAGATGCACTGAATACGAGAAGTATTGCGAGTGCCAGGATTCACATTGAAAGGCTTAATCAACGCTTAAAAGTTTTTCAAATTTTGGGCAGTAAAATGCCTTCTTGTTTAGTTAAAAAATCCGGACACATAATGACTGTTTTATCAGCATTAGTAAATTTAAGTGCGCCAATCTTAAGTGATGAAAGGTTCCCATCGTAGTGTAAGAAAACTGAATTCTAATTTCTTAAGTTGTCTGCGAATGGCTGAAAAAATGGTTATTTTTGGTTAGGATTTAAGTGCAAAGGATTTTGTAAAAAAAACTCAAACCATTCTTATTTTATTTGTTTAAAGCCTTCTTAATACAAATATAGTGCATCATATGTTTAAAGTACGCTTTCTTGAGGGCAGGTAGCATTTTTTCTAGAAATTGCAAATTTATGTCGATTGAAATTACAACCATGCTTTTATCAAAAGAAGCATAAATGATAAAATCAGTTGTTTTCAGGTTCAAAATAGCCATGCCCAATTGTATTTGGCCATAGTAATCGTGTTTTTGTTTTAATGTTTTTAACGGCATATTAATGTAACTCAACTTGGAGAGAATTTTTTCAGCTGTTTCTGTTTTTCCTATAAAAGGACATTTAATTTCTATTAATTTTCCAGGCATTCCGTTTTTGTCGAAAACAACGCCATCGGGCGAAAATCCTAACCACGAATTTTCTTTTGGGACAATTAAACCGAATTGCATTACTTCCACTCCACTTTTATTTGAATAAGTTTCTCGTGCTTCTGATTCTTGCTCAATGCCGTGTTTCATTTCCTTCGTTGGTTTGAAAGATTTCGGATAAAAATAACTTAAGGACTTTTTTTCCCATTGAGCTTTTTTATTACTGGTGTACGTGTAGATTGCATAGCACCTTGCACCAGTAATCCGGAATTGTCGGTTTTCGAACCACTTTTTTTTGTCGTTAAAAGTTTCTTCGCAAATTGTTTGCGTATCTACATTTAAGCTAGTTAAAAATGACTGACAGCACGTGGGGATTTCATATTCTAAATTTTTAAGGATTTTCATGCTTTCAGAAGGTAAATTTAATAGAAGAGATTGCAGTTTATCCATATTTATCATCACATTATTATTATCTGTTTCGATCAAAACTTCTTCGTGCCGTCCACATCTACATATTAAAATATACGATTACAATATATACATTATAGCTATAAAAAAAGTAAAATAAAAATCATAATACAATGAAGATATTTTCAATATATGTACCTATCCTTCTAAAAATAATTGATAGAAACTCGATCAAAAATTCTAATTTAATTTTATAATAAAAACTTCAATGGAATTAGTTGTCGTTGTACATTTTAAGATAAAAATAAATTATTCCTGTTATTAAAGATTTATAAATATCACATTTTTATTTGATTGTAAATTTTGCCATTCGTAATTTAATATATAAAGCTTCAAAAAAGTCGGCAATTGTTGTAAAAAAAATAATTACCTAATTTGTATAAAATGTTTTTGTCAATATTGTAGAAAAATGTTAATACAATAATTATTTGCATGTAAAAAATTTATGTAAGCATGATTAAAAATATTTCATCGTTGTAAAAATCACAAAAAATAAATTGATCCGTATATTACAAATAATAATAAAATAAATTTCACACTTATTATAAAAATTACTTTCAGAACATCATAGTAAAAAATAATTTTAAAAGTAATCAATTTTCAATTCATCGAAATTTTTGCAATAAAAAAGAATTAAAAGTTAATAGAATAAATTTAAGCATACATATGTTTTGAAAGTGCTGAGTCCATGTTGCTACTAAAAAGTAAATCTTTTATAAAATTTTCATCTTCTTCATTTATTTTTGTCGAATATTCTTTATCGAATTCGTTAGAAAAACAGTCGTGTGATCGTAATGGAGCTGGTTCATAATTTTCCAGTACCTTTCCTCTTGGAGTACTCCATAAACATCTGTTGTCCGTACATGACGTTTCCTCCAAAGATGTTAAGTCAATTCTATAATAAAAAAAACAAATTGATTTAGAATAATTAATTATTATAATAGGTATTATAAACATATTTTATAGAGTATTTTATTATTATATAGACAAGGTACGTAGTCAAACAAATAAATTCAATTTGAAGAAACTAAAAAAATATAACTTAACCTCCAAGAATGTAAAACTTTTCAATTAACAATAGAATAAATTTTCAAAATAAATACCATAAAAACTATACTTATTGTAAATACATTGTACAAAACAAAAGATACAGCAGAAATTTAAATGTACTTACGTGTGTAAATGTAGCAATACTGCAACCACGTGCTTGCATTTGCCACTTAATCCCGCTTTGCAACTACATTTCATTTTATTTATTTTATTTTGGAAACTTATTTCACCTTAAATTTCGTGCGGATTACCTTTAAGTTTTGAAGTTTGCAAACAAAATGCAATTACTTTAATACAAGTTTTATCAGCGGCTAATTTGCCGCAAAATATCACATGTCCTGCATGTAATACTTTTTCCCCTTCAACGAAATTTCTGCACGAAGGTGTAGACTCAGTGAAACCACAAATTTCGGCCATTCCAAGCATTATTTTCGTATAATAATTAGAAAAGAACTATAAAAAAACACACGTAATACAAAACTGACAGCTAAACCGACCCCGTTGTGTCGGCCATATTGGTTTTCCCCCTCTCTCGTGACGTCACGATTTCAGATCCCTATATTTACCCAAATTTTAAACCTCGACTATAAATCTTACGTGGAATCGCCCATATATTTTTTACTTTCGTGTGTACCGCAAAAAAACACTATATTTTCATTCAAAATGAATTTTTTTAAATCGGCTACGTGAGACAATTTTAAAATCTACAGTAAAATACTCGTAACACATCCACAAATTATAATAAAAAGGAATTTAGAGGGAACATTACACTTTATTTAATTTTCCTTCTTGCGCACCGTTAAGGGACTAATTAAACTGAAATAGTTCTGAAGTTTCAAAAATTTCAAATGTCGAATTAAATATGGCGCACACAAAAATTATAAATCGTTTCTAAATGTCATAAAACTTAGTACACTGAAGTTTTTGAGGTCGCTGATTAAGAATTTGACATCAGATTTAAAAATTTAAAAAGTCACTGCACTGCGCGCGATAGGACACGTTAAAAGTTTTCGACACAATAAAGTGCGGTGCAGGTGTGAATTTTAGAAGTGAAATATGTAATGATCTTATGATAATAATTAATAATTAAATCGAATATGTATTTATAATGTACCTGAACTGGCCAATAATGCGTATTTTGACACTTGTACAATTTCTTGTACATGTTCATTAATGAACTTGTACATGTTCGAGTAATGTTCCTGAACATTACATGTTCTTGTACCAGAACTTGTACAAGATCCTGGACAAGAAAATATACTTGTACAAGAAAATTTACAACAACTTGTACATTTTCTTGTACAAGTTTTTTCAGCCGGGTGGCAAGAAGCTTGCCGTGTAAGATGTGCAAGATTGCAGTGCAAACATGTAGCAAGTTTGGTACAAGTTTTCGTGCTGATTGGACACTTGCTTGAAAACTAGAGCCAATCCAATATCGGCTTTCATTGGTTTGGCAACATGTAGTTTTTAAAATTTTGTTAGCCTTTGTTATCAGTAACAATGATAGTTAATTTAAAAAGTTTTGAGGATTCTGAAAAAACGAATCCTTTTCTAGTAACTTGTTATATCATTAACTTCAACTTGCTTCGTGCTGGTATTGAAATTTTGTTATATCATTCCGTAAGTTAAATTATACTGTTTAACTTACCTATAACTGTGGACGAATTATGATCTGGTGATGGGGTAGAGGACAGTTTACGAACTGCTTCTCGTCTTAAAAATTCCACTTTTGCCATTTCTGTTGCCACCCAACTCGGAATGTCAGGTACGGCAGAAATTATAATGAATCTAATTGCTATCATAATATGTTCTAATGCCACAATTAAAAGTATTGTTTGAGTAGCTGACATTTCTGGAAACATTCGTTGAACTTGGCCACTTAAACTAATTAGCCCACAGTTCACCAAGATTGCAATAAGGCTCATTGCTTCCATAGCATTCTGAAAAGAAAATTTTTAATTTAAAAGTACCTTAAAAGACTTAAAGAACAATATAAATGTGGGTATTACACTAGAACCTAATTTAGTTCTACAAAAAGTGCAGGTATTGTTGGAAGCAGGATAAGATTTTTTTATAAAGGAAAGTATTTAATAAATAGTTTAAGGCCCTGTAATTCAATGAAAAACATAATTTTTAATTTACATCATAGATGTTATTGTATTTACATCTAACTAATTTCCATTAAGCACATTATATATTTTTTTAAAATTATTGACTTTAAAATAATGAATTTCAAATTGAAGAACCTTTCGTTACTACCAGTATACGTAAGAGATTGACCATAAATTACGTAAGACAATTTTTAGGTCTAAATAATTTTACTAATCCAAAAGAGCGAGCGAGCGAGGGTAATCAGTTCAACGTTTTTGCCTTTATTCGTAACCGTGACAGATAGTAAAAAAAATTAGCATGCAAACGCATGCAGTGATATCCAGCGAACTACCCAAATAGTTCGTGTGCTTGCACATAGATTAAGTGCGAGTTAGTTTTCAATGTCGTATTTAGAGGTGCGCAAGAGATTTTTGAATCACTGGGGATATTTATTTATACAATCTTTCTTAATTAAATATACTTTTTTTGGTTTTTTTAAAATATATTTGAAACTAGCTGCACAATTAAAGCGCTTGTACACCTTAAGGCCTGAGCAGAATAGAAACGTAATTGCAATCGTAAACGGAAGAATGTGTTAGAGAAGGATAGTCATATATTGCTGTTCTTCTCTTTCTAATTCTTCCGTTTGCGATTACGATTCCGGTTACGTTTCTATTGTGCTTAGGCCTTTACTAATTCTTCCGTCTGCGATTACGATTCCGGTTACGTTTCTATTGTGCTTCGGCCTTTACAAATTCTGAGTACACTCAGAATTCGTCAGAGGTTTCACTAATTTTTATTGACTTTGCTCATAGAGAATTTTGAAAATTTCCAATCTTTTGTAAATTATCTATGAGGAAAGCTAATGAAAATTAGTAAAACTTTCTTTTGCAATCGTAAACAACAATAAAAAAAGAATTTTTCGATATTTTTCCATGTATATTTGTGATTAGAGATGTAAACTACATTGTTTTAATAAAAACTATAATTGAATTCTTATTTTTGTGTAAATTTTTTGCAAATGTTTTCCTATTAATTATAACCTATTTCCCCAAACGAGAATTGTGAAATTTTACATTATATTACTGCCGGCTGTTTGTAAATAATCTAAAATTTAATTATCTTGTTTATAAATCTTTTACTGATATTATTTGTTTGATGAGAGACATGAAGTGTTGCTTTGTACTCGTTTCAAAATTCTGCTTTTTTAGGGGCACTTGTTAAAGTACAGCAGTTCCTCAATAAGACGAGTAACAGTTCGCTTTAGTTTTTTTAATGGGTATATAGTTGTAACGTAAGTAAAAATTAAAAGTGAAATTTGTGTGATTTTGCTAGTCTCTCGCGAAAGCCGATGGGAGCGCTCAAGTGTTTCCGGACAGCTTATAGACCCCTACCGCGCCGTGTTCCCCTACTCGTTACCGATGCTGATTCTACACTCAACTAAAACTGCGCGACGTTTTACGAACTTTGCGTTACGTTTTTATATATATATATAGATGTAGTTAAATTTGGGGGAAGCATCACGGAAAAGCGGACCGCTCGCTCAGTTTTAGGTGAGTGTAGAATCAGCATTAGACCCTAGACGGAGCTGTCTAATTCACTTACTTCGATAGCGGTTGTACCATAGGAAAGACCTTTCTGAACGGCAGTACCGTGAGTAGGAACTCAAGTGGTGATACCACAGAAGCGATAAAATCGCAAGTGGTAGCACCGCATGATTAAAAGAGGTGGTACCTCATGGTCAAACCATCTTTTTCCCACGATACTACGGCACCGTGTAAAATAATTGAGAATGTCTGAATTGATGGCAAACAGTATGTCGACGAGAATACTTCGTGTATAATTTTTGTATTTTAATTTTAGGAATTTCAAAATGTTTTACGATGTGATATTTTTTATTCTTATTTGTATTTCGGTTATGTTTCATTCATCGCACGTTCCGGAAATTTCGTCATGTTTCGTTGCTATACTTATATTCATAATAATGATTTTTGTCGTCTCCCGTAGTTGTAACTAACGCGTATCAGATATATTCTTTTTAGATTAAATTGAATGTTAAAAAATTTTTTCCGAACCCTACCCGGCTAGCTAATCCTCATAACATTCATCACACAGTTTTCAATTTCGATTCATTGGATCGATGATAGCTTGTTGTGAAGCTTTAACTTTCATTTTCTACATCTATCCAATCATGAATTAAAACTGACTTTCTTAGGAAAGAAAACTTCAGGAATGTGTTCATCGACTTGGAATTAAGAGACAAATTCGACGTTGCCGTTTCACAGACTTTTTCAGATTCTCCCTTTTCTATAAAATGGTTTAAAATGGAGCTCAGAATATTCTTCGCCTTCTCCTTTTAAACTGCCGTATTATTATATAAATGTTTATATAATATAATTAGTTTATAAACATAGTACTAACCCGGATGAAATAACTTCAGTCTCATGATTTGGTGGAAGTTGATAAGCATCAATACTTGGCCAAGTTAAATTTTTAAAATTATTTAAATTAGCTGATTAAAATTTTAGTGTTACCTAAATAGTAGTATTCATCGGAGAATGTCATTGATAAACACTACTATTGCAGATGTTTCTAAATCTTACTATATATTAAAAGAACAAGGGTATAAAAGAGCCTAAAAAGTCTTACGTAATTTATAGATTTCCTTTTAACTTAGCGCTATAATTAACATAATAATATAAATACAGAAAACTATAAAAAAACACCTGAATTTTTTTTGTAATTTTTAAAATACTTTGTATTTGGAGTTTTTGGGGTCGCTGATTACAAATTTAATGTTAGTTTAAAAAAATTTAAATCCAAATTGACAGATGCAAAATGTCTGCCAATTTTTTTTAATAATCGATCGAATTGGCTAAAAATTGTAAGTAAAAGGTTTCCGGGGTTGCTGATTTCGAATCTGATGCTAGTTTTTTGAAAACCAAAATGGCGAATCCAAAATGGAGGACGGCTTTTTTAAAAATCAATCCAATTGGCCTAGAAATTATTACTTGGGGGTTTTCGGGGTCGCTAATTACGAATTTGATGTCAGTTTTTTAAAATTCAAAACGGCGGATCCAATATGACGTACATATACTATCAAAAAGTTAAGCTACGCTTTTGAAATTATTTACTTGGAGGTTTTTAGTATCGCTGATTACGATTCGGGTGTCACATTTAAGGGGCAATCGGAGTTGTAACTTATAGAAAATCTATTTTCATTGCATTTTCTTAAAGTATATGTTTTCAGAAATATGTCTACAAATTTTTATGATGATCCGGTGAAAATTGAATATGAGATATACAGGCTGAAATGGAGGCGCGTCAGGTCGGTCAAGTTTTTGACAGGTCGCCATTTTGTCAAAAAATATTTTTTTAAATCGCTCCGTTGAGGACTAGATAATCTTTCCATAAATGTAAAACCGTTTAAATTTTTGATTTTAGATGAGCCAGATTTCCATAGTCGTGATCACCAGAAATCATGTTTTTTTAAAAGGACATCACTTTAACAGTATATAACTTTAAAAATATTTAATAATTTGAACTTTTTTTTAAATTCATGTTCAATATATGTACTTTTAAATGATAAATCGATATTTTGAAAAAATGTAATGGTGTACAAGAAAAAAATGCATAAAAAGGTCTATTTTTTGGCACTACAACTGCGGTTGTCCCCTTAAATACAAAATAGTGGATCCAATACGGCAGTTAATATGTTTTTCGATTAACATATGTGACGATGAAGTGTGTCGTCACCTGTCTCTATTTGTTTGAAATTCGATACAAGCGTCCCCAAGGCGATATATTTGGTTTTCCAAACAGAAGTTAGCTAGAAAAAATGATAGCTTGTTACGCATCATTAATTCGAGTTTCACACATGCCTTTACGATAGCCCGCGAGGTGTCCCGGAAAAGAACGAGTTTTTCTGAGAAAGAAGGGAGGTTCGTGATTAATGGAAATTGATTGATCACTAGTTTCGCGGATCTCAATCAATCATCCGTTTTTCTTTAACGGTCTTTCGCGCAAGTGATTTTAGGATTTCTTTTTCATTATATTAATTGATTATTTTTTGTATTTAAATTTCTTTGGTTTTGTGTTAAATAAATATGTCTTGGTTAATTAGTGTTTATTTATTTAATTATTCCTTTTTCATCATAGTGGGAGTCCACGAGGATCAACGGCAAATTAAAGGGTCTCTCAGCATGGGTGAGTTTAAGGAATCATTTTAAAGGTTCGAATCTGTCTCACTATCACAGGCATCGTGATAATTGTTTATCTTAGCAGAATCCCCTTTGAGTAATTTTAATGTATAGAATGTAAATGATAATAATTTTATCCTAATGCGAGGCTTGTAATAAACGACGTTAGAATTTTTTCAGTAGTGATCTAGTATACACTTCATATATGAGCACCTGGATATAATAACTCGCGCTATGCTCGACTGTACGATTTCAAGCCTGTCAAACTTACAAAAAGAATAAGAAAATTCAAATTCAAAATTTTGATTTTTGTAAAGTACTACCTTGTAGGAAATAAGAAGGCGCATCTTTTTTCCTTCAACATTTTTAGAAAAACAAATATTTTAAATAATAAATCCAAAAAACTAAGAAATCTTGATTCACAAATTTCATTAAGTTTTAAAACATAATTCATCGTATCTTTTACAATAATCAACGGATTTGATTAAAAAATAGGGTACACACGCTCTTGGGTCTACTGAAGACAATATAATGAAAAATTATTAATTTTTTAATATAAATAGAGACCTGTCGGAAATCACGTTTTCTTACATTAGGCGACAAAAAGTCTGCAGGTAAGTTTGCATTTGAGATAACTTCCAGTGAGACAT